CAAACAAGCTTCCCCATAATGCCAAGACTGCTGGTTCATGGACCACACTCGGAGAAGCTTCTCCGCCTCCATACTATTGATATATGGCTGTGAGATTGTTGTTTGTAAAGGACTGGCCTCTGCACTGGGGGGTGTTTAAGCCTGGTCTCCATGCTAGTTGCCAGGAACACTCCCTCCTACTTGTGACAACTAAAAATGTCTCCAGGTGCTTTCATATTTCCCTGTGGGCAGAAACGATAAATGCTACCCTGAGTGATCCTGCCATCATCCAAGTGTGAGATCCAGTCTGCAGTATGATTTGTTTGTGTCTTTGAATTATCAAAACCCCATTCTCTGAATTGATCTGTCCTCCCTACAGTATATACCACAAAGACAGGAGACTTCTGTGCATTCCTGTGTCCACAGCACCCAGAAGACTGTTGGGTGTCTAGTGGACCTCTGTTGGGTATTTAGATTTGTTAAATCCTTGACTGTGTTATGGCAGTGAGTAGCTATACTCAACACTTCCATAGTATCTTGAGGAATAGTGTATGAAGTCACTTTTGCCCCATGCCCTATCTTCATGCTGACTAAACTCCTGTTAGCAAAGGCTCCCACCACTCTGGCAGATGCTCAGTCAGCTGGCTAATGGTCTGTAAAACTTCAGTACCCCAGGGAATGCCACTCCTCCAGATGAATCCTTCAGCTGGAGAGACAATCTTTATCCACATCTTCAAAGGTGACATTTTCCTCCTGTAGTTTAGAAAGCAGAGTCTATAGCAGTTTGGGGTCGAAATCAGCACTATGGGATCAAAATGGGTCCTTCATGATGTAAGCACCCTGTTCCCTCAGGAGGAAACAATGGCTTCTTTTTCGAAGACAGGCCTTGAACAGGCAGGAATATATTAAGGAACAGTTACAGAACCCTCTGACTTGCCCAGGATTTCTCTTTCACTGAGATACCTCCTTCAGAGCTGGTTTCCCCTTCCTGGGCATGCGTGGCCAACCTTTCCTTCCTACCCCAAGGCCCCTTAGTTCTTTGCCCACGGGTCTGATTGCAAGGTTGGCGCCAGACATGGATGCACAAGTATACATTATCGTTTCCACCTCTCTGCCAACAACTCCAACCATCAGGAGGAGGGGCCTTTGTGAATGTAAAAGCCATTTCAGGTTTTTGTGTTTTCTTTCCTTCAGAATACTTGTGTAAAATGCCCTTGGGAAGTAGTAATTCCTGTAAGCTTACAAAGCCGCTAACCGTTTTTACCCCCAAATTCCAGTGTTCTTCAACCATTAGCTATTGTAGACTTGATTATTCTTTCTCCAGAGCTGTATTTAAGCCACAAAGAGCAGCTCTGAGGAACAGAAGCACAATTGTTGCACGCACACACAAAAGGCCCACACAGAATAATTGGGGATTAGACCGGAGCACTCAGCTCCACCCTCTGTGCCCCATACCTGGGGCGGCAGATGTGGATGAGCTCAATGGGGGACAAGCTTTGTGATCGGCCACCAGCTTCAATCCAAACACTGCCCCAAATGCCAAGGGTGCCACTTAGTAGGAGTCCAGCCGAGCTCAGTGGACTGAGTAAACAGATAAATTAAGCAGGGTGAGAGCCCATGGGTGCAGATAAGCACATCTACTTGCCAGCTGTTTTCACAAGAGAAGCCTGAACCTCTGAAAGATGAGATTATCTCCACCCCAGCGCTGAGACCACTGTGCATGTCCCAGATGTGCAGCAGCTGGCTCCTCAGGGGAGCACAGAGCTGCTGCAAGGTCTGGAGTGTGGACTCCGTGTAAGACTCCTGTGGGAAGACCAGCCCGGGAGCTCTGAGGACTCTGGGGACACTTTGAACGCTACCTCAGGGTTGTTGGGGGCGATGAATCTAATCCAGAGGCGCAGGAAGATGAGACCGGAGGCTCAGTGACTCGGCAGGCAGCCAGGGGAGACCCCCTAAGCTGCCCAGGTCCCACCTGCCTGTGCAGCAGCAGGATCAGCCCTTTGTAAAGACTGTCCCACTGTTATTTGTTATTGCTGCTCTTTGTTTTTCTTTTCATAGGTCCTCTGATTCTCCCATCAGTTAATGGCATATTTGAGTCCTGAACCGGGTCTTCTGATGCTTCAATTTTTAAATGTTTTATTATTATTATTATTATTATTATTATTATTATTATTATTATTTTAACATCTCAGTCTCCAATGATCTAATCAAAGGGTTTTAGGGTTTGGGCTAACTGCTGAAGCTTTAGTTTACTCTCTCTGTTGAATCCTAGCTTTCAGTTCACTTTGTATCAGGTTTAATCTTCCCGAAAGGAGTGCTTTGGAGATATAAGATCAATAGGGTCTATTGTGAGGCGCGCTCGCTCACAAAGACTCACTTTGTCAAGCTGCTGCCATGCAGGGCTAAGCTTTTTACATGGTCCTGGTGCCGGGCAATTCAGCATCTCTGCATTTTACAGTATTTGCCTCAGGAATTCAGCTCCAGAACTTTTCTGATGAAATTAACAGATACTTGATTGAGTTTCTTTGTAACTGATCTTTCAGTTTTTGTTTTTTTTTTTAAACTCACATTTGCAGGAACTAAATACATCCAGTCCATGTCACAGCTGACATGAAAACTACCAAAGTATTTTAGACCTCAAAGCCGCCCGCCCAGCTGGTGTTCACAGAGACCTGCCCTGGTCATTGATGCGCTTTGAGTCTGCCCTTTCCACCTGATGCTTAGGGCAGCCACAGTGACACCGTGTCTCTGCCTCTTCCATCCTCCAGCTCTGACTCCTCTTCCCAGCATGCACCCTAGATGCTGCCAGCTTTAGCGTCCCTTGATAGGGAGGTCACCAGGGTAGCATGTTGTGGGGAGGGTACCAAGAGAGTACCCAGGTTGGCAAGGCAACCCATGGCCCCAAAGTTGGCTGCACAGCTCTCTGATGGTTCCAAGCAAGAGGTCTGGTCCCAGGAAGAGGTAAAGGGGTGTACTGTCCTGTGATTCCCATCATGCCCTTCCTTGAACTCACCTTCCTCTCTGTTTTCACCTTGCTGCTGAACTTTCGTGTTCCATGAGTTTTCAATGGGGGTGACAGGTCTGAAGCACTCCTTGCCACTGGGGTTGGTGTTTACTAGCACAAAAGCTAAGGGGCTAGAGCAGAGGGTCTGCATCACACAGCCTCAGAAAGAAAGCTGAGGTCCCATAGCAGTTGGAACCCCCGAGTCATGACTAGTCAGCTGTGGCTTCTCTCAGTGAGGGGACAGAAAAGGACAGCCCCCCAGGTACCATCACTATAGCTAAACTTGCATGAGGTGGCTGAGGTGGCTGGGTGTGCTTCTCGGCATGTCCCCTCCTCCGAGTGAAGCTGTGTTCACCATGGACCCAGGTTCTAAGGCTTTGAGTGCAGGGGGTCACTGGAGGATCTGGGCAAATGCAGATTCCTAGGGCCGTGTTTTGGATGAGCTGAGAGCCCGCTTCTCTGACGAGCTGTTGTGTAAGACAGATGCTGTGTGGACCCCACACTGTTGGCCGTCAGCTTTGGCTACTGATTGGGGTATCTGAGAGGAGCCTTTTAAACTCCATACCTGACTCTGCTCATCCCCGTGAAATCAGAATTCTGAGGCCAAGTCCAGGGTATCAGTCGTTTCAGAACTCTCCAGACAATTCCTGCCTAGATGGTTTGTGTGGAGAGCCAGTATTGATGACACTCAGGCCTACCACACTGGGGATCTGCAGAAGTACGTTGTGAGTGTGAACTAAAATGAGTGTCTACCTTCAATTCACCAGCTCCAGAGAGTCCTGGAACCACTCCAGAGTCTTAGCAAAAGCCCTCAAAGGGTCCTTGCTACTCTCTTTGGCTCTGGATCTTCACTACACAACTGACTGCCCCAGATTCTTCTTGGCAGGGCTGGTAGAGCTGTGGGGAGTCAACACATGAATAAAGCTGGAAATCCTACCTTCCTCTCGAGCCGGGGTCTCAGTCCTGCTCTGTATGAAACCAAGAGGCAAGGTGTGATGTGGGCGGGGGCGGGGGGGAGGGGGTGGAACCAGCTGCCCAGTGACTCTCATGTGACACCAGAGAGAAGAACCAGGCTGTGAGATAAAAGGAAACTTTTAAAACAATAGACTTAGAGGCCAGTTCTGTGGGTAAAGGTGCTGGCTCCCAAGGCCAACAGCCTGAGTTCTAACCCTGGAAGCCACATAGTAGAAGGAAAGAACAGATTCCCTTGACTCGTATACACACACACACACACACACACACACACACACACACACACACACACACACACACACGATATGCTCCCCCTCCCTCACACACAAATAAATAAATGTAAAATTTTCAGGGGAAAAAGAGATATATTTGTGTTTTCTTTAACCTTTTAAAACTGGCTCTAAAAACTAATAAATGATGCCAAAATCATACAAGTGATTTTTTTAAAATATGCATTTAATAATTTTTCATGAAAATAGATGTTTTTAAAATGGATATTCCTCCCCTGCCATCCACCCCACACTGGGACTTTTGAGGCCAATGGGCAAAGCAGGGAGATGACTCTGCTGGGCTTGAAGAGCTCAGTTCAGGAGGGAGAATGAAGATCACTGAGTTAATTGGGACAAGGTTGGCTGCTGTCACAAGACCAATTTCATTCTAGGGTCTTGACCCAAGTTTAGTGGGCTGGTAGCCAGATCAGGAGGCCCCCTCTGCAGTCATTTGGGTATCTCCCCACATTATCTCCTGCCCTGAAGAGGAGGGAGGTGGGGATGACCCATGGAGAGCATCCCTCTGCTAGGCTGGACCACATACCCTCTCAGGCCTTTGACAAGAGCCCCATCATATGGTCTCTGGCCCGCATGAACAGGTTCAGCCAGAGCGTCCATTAAACAACAGTTGCCCGTGACGACGCAGGGCAGTAAAGTGCGGCTGCTGCCCTAGGAATGCTGGCTACAGCTAGGCCTGGTCCCCGAATCGGGTGACAGGGACCACAGAGGTGAAATGGTGTTCTGAAGGTGTATGCTGTCTTTCCTTCTTTCCATAGATATCGCCAACGGCACCAGTTCAGGGGGGTACCGCCCACCTCCCAGAACCAAAGAAGTCATCATCAATGGCCAGACTGTGAAACTAAAGTACTGTTTTACCTGCAAGATTTTCCGCCCCCCTCGAGCCTCCCACTGCAGCCTGTGTGATAACTGCGTAGGTGAGTAGGACTCAGATTCTGCGCGAGTAGCAGTTCCTCGCTAGGGTGCTGAATGGAGACGACCCGTCTTTAGTGCTTCTACTGAAGGCTTCACGGTGGCGACTGTGCCAATGCGTTCGTCTGTCTCCACTGAACACACTCACCAAGCCTGCCCTCACCACACTCTCTCCCACAGTAGGTTTTATTTTATCTTGCCAAGCCCTGGACCTTCTTTCCCAACACATGGACCTTTGTTCCTCCTAGATGCCAGATGAGCAGATACTTGAAATAAAGCCGTTGCAGCCCCGGGTCCCTCTATTGCCTGACAGCTGGCCATACACATAAAGCATATGCTTTTGGCACCTCCCTCCCCCAATGCTCGGAAACTTCTTTTGGGGATGAGGGAGGCCTTGGATCTGAAGGAGGGAAGGAGATAGAAACAGTCAATTTCCACATTGGGCTAGAGCTCAGAGCGGGGGTGGGGGGGGGTGGTAAGAGGGAAGGTGCCAGCTCAGAGATCCCTGGATGTGATTAGCCCTGCTACTGACCCAACACTGGCTTCTACAACTGACCTGGGTCCCAGACCCTAGGGTTTGTGGCTAGGCTTCCCGTCCCTTTAGACTTAAAGCTGGTCACCATAGCTATAGGCCATCTTCCATCCTAGGCACAGCTCCTAAGAGAAGAGGGTCTCGATAAAGACAGGGTAAAGCTGGGTCTCACTGTGGAAGACTGCAGTTCCCCGTTCCTGTAGCCGGCCTCCACAGAGGTGAGGGTCGAAGCCTTGCCCCCTCACACCTGGAAGGAGACGGGCACCCTCAGGACAATGTCTCCCTTAGTAACACACTATTGATTTCCAACATTCTCCTTCAGTCTCAGAATTTGTAGTCTTAATTCTTCCTAAGAAAAATTAAATTTTATAATGTAACTCCTGCTGCACCAAGAAATCTTATTAATCTTAAAGTCACTTTATCCTGACTTTAATAATCTGTGGTTTGATACTGTTTGTATTTGTCTTGGTTCTTATTAACTTAAATTCCTGTTGGTTTGTGATGCCCTGTGGAGAAGCTTAGACTTCTCTTCTACCCTTCCCATGTAGTAAGGAGCCTGGACTTAGGAGCCGGGGGTACGGCACAGGGTGACCAGTCTCCAAATGCTCCCTGCGTGACTTAGGCAAGCTACTTAAAATGTGCCTCCGTTTTCTTGTGTCTGTAGTGTGCTGCTTGAAAGATGACCTACACAGGAAACACACAGAGCAGTCAGAAAGTGCCAGGCTATGGGAAGTGTTAGCTACTGCTGTAACTGCGGTTATTGTTACTTCTGCTGTTATTGTTACTGCTGCTGTTATTGTTACTGCTGCTGTTACTGCTGCTGTTGCTGCTGCTGTTGGTGTTGCTGCTGCTGCTGTTACTACCTTGTTGTTTTTGAGCTGGCTTTCTCTAGGCAAGTCCTTGATACAATGTCACCCTCTGCAATTGCGACAAAAGAACTGTACCCTGTTCTCCGTGCAGGGCACATGGGGTCTCTATAAGGCCGTGTGACTGAGTTGGTGTGGCTGGGTACCCTTTTTGACAATGCCTACCTTGAGGACATTTGGGGCCAGACAGCATGGCGGCTTCAGTGTCATCCAGGGGACATCTTGTAGGGCTGATGAGCAGCCTTGGAGGCCTGGTCTTGGGTTGACCCTGGGGTCTGTTACAGGATGGAATAGCCTGTCACGTCAGCACTCCTGTTGTTTTTCATAGTCTCCTGTGTGTGGGGGGTGGGGGGGTGGGGGGGCATATCCTAAGCTGTATTTTGACAAATAAGAAGTTGTTATCTACCATCCTAAAGCATCTACATCCTTATCATTTGCAAAAAGCGTTGGGCTCCTCCTTCCTCATCTTCACCAGTTTGTCTCAATCCTGTCTTCTGTCTCTGGGTTAGATCTGCAATCACATTTAAAAAGAAAGCCTTTCCCATCTCATAGTGAGTTCTGATTTGAAAATTCCATTGGAGTCTTGTCACTTCCTTCAAATCATGTAGTCACTCCCAGTCTGGTCCCATACTGCCCCTCAGTGTATGTATCTCTTTAAAACGCCTCATAAATTGGGTGTGAATCCCCTTGCCAAAATTTTGATGGAGTTTCACAGTTGATGGCCTGTTTTCGCCATAGTAAAACTGTTTGAGATAGTGTCCCCGCTCGTGGACTCTACCAATTGTGAAAACTAGAGCCATCAACCCGCAATGTATAGGAGGCACATGGGGCCCTTTCTGAGGACTCGGTCACCACAGCAGCCCAGCAGCCCACATGCAAGCTTGGCGATCTTCCATGACAGAGACACCCAAGGGAAAGGGGAAAGAAAGGAAGCGGCAAGGACTGGGATGGGGTCAGGAAGAGGAAGCCCAGCCTGCGGGTACAGCGTTGATGGGACCAAGTCCCTCTCTATGGAGGGTGGGTGAGGTGAGGAATGTGCAGATGATTTAAAATGAAGCTGTTGATTGCACGCACGCACACACACACACACACACACACACACACACACACACACACAAACACACACACACACGCGCGCGCACACACACACACACACACACACACAGAGTATTATCCAAGCCTACATAGCTTGGGTTTTTCCACTCAGTTGTGCAACACCAGCCTTTGGCATGACCGATGAGCAGGCCACAGACCAGACCTCTGATTCGGGAAATAGAGGGGAAGGCAGAAGTATCCCACAGAGGACTGTAATTGCAAGGTTGCTGCTAGTGTATTTTTAGATAGAAGATTTTTACCGAAACAGTTCTGCTTTTTACAGCAAATAAAAAAGACAGCGTGTGTTGGAAGCCCAGGTTAGAATGGAGTCTCCCCTCCCCTTGTTAGGAATGGCTCTGGGTCATTACTTCCCAGACACAGTGGATAATTGCCATCCTGCATTAGCAGAGGAAAGGGTGAAAATGCAGATTTCCGGGTTAGTGGGAAATTCTTTTTCTTTGTTAAATACATTTTAAAGGAGAGCCAAATCGTAAGAGCTTTGCAGTCTTAGTGGAGGGCTGGGGGAAGTGCTTCCTTGAAGGCTGAACACTGATGTGACCTTAGAAACAGTAGACAGAACCTAATGGCGGGGACCTGGCCTTCAACACAGAGACCCAGGGCTATGCCCTGCTCTTGTTACTGAAAAACCGTGGAAGCTGAGAAAGTTTTCTCAGCACCATAAAACAAGGTGAGCCTAATCTAGCTTATACATTTCGTCTAAGGATTAAGTGGGGTCGTTTGTGCCCACTAGAGCACCCTGCTCAAACATGGCATACACAAAGGGGTCGCCACCAACGTTCCCACCCCAAGTTAGTAGTGCTGCTCCCAGGTATCTTATTTAAACAAGATTCGGTGCCTGAGGAGACGGCTCAGTCAGTGATGTGACTCACAAGCATGAGGACCCGAGTTCAGATCCCCAGCATCCGTGTACAAAGCCTAACCCCCATCTGTAACCCCGGTACTGGGGAGGCAGAGACAAACAGATCCTGGAGCTCATTGGCCAGCCGATCTAACTAAATTGGTGAGTCCCAGGTTCAGGGAGCGAACTCTCTCAAAAAAATGAGATAGTGAGTAGTTGAATCAGATAACTGATGTTGACCTATGGCCTCTACAGCTATGAACACACCAATGCATATATCCATACAAAGACGTATATACACCACACTCACATACACACACACACACACACACACACACACACACACACACACACGGTTCGTTCTGGCAGGCATAGGCAGTGCCTCTTTTGGCATTTATTTGTGTTGGGGAGAGCTTGGAGTGCATGTATGCCATGCATACGTGTGGACATCATAGGACACCCTGCAGGGGTCTGTTCCCCATCCATTTGTGTCACAGGGCTTGACAGATCATCAGGCTTTGCATCCAACACCTTTACCCACTGAACCATCTACCAACCCCACAAAATTCTTTTTTTTTTTTTCTGAGACAGGGTTTCTCTGTGTAGTTTTGGTGCCTGTCCTGGACCCCATTCTGTAGCCCAGGCTGGCCTCGAACTCACAGAGATCCGCCTGCCTCTGCCTCCCGAGTGCTGGGATTAAAGGCGTGCGCCACCGCCGCCCAGCACAAAATCTTTTTAAACAACTAGTATCCAGGGTCTGTATCCATCCCTGCTCTCTTTAGGAGCTCACATCTCTCAGATCATTGGGGTGAGGATGGTGGGAGGGGCTAAGAAACAAAGCAAAGGCTCATTAGGTCCTCTCAAATTGACTGTGCACAGCCTCCATCCCCAAGTTCCTGCTCTCTACCTTGCCCTGACTGGCAACCCAAGTCTATTCTTTCCTGGGCCATCAGTGCTGGAGGAGCCAGCAGCTTTCACCACAGTTACTGCTGGGTTGTTCTAGAACCGGATATTTATTTTTATATTATTTTATGTGTGTGGATGTTGGGACTGTATGTATGCCTGTGTCCCACTTGTGTGCCTGATACCAACAAAGGCCAGAAGAGAGCTTTGGATCCCCCAGAAATGGAGTTACAGATAGTTTTGAGCCACCGTGTGGGTACTGGGAATCGATCCCTGTCCTCTGGAAGAACAACCAGTATTCTTAGCTGCTAAGCCATCTCTCTGGCACCAGAACTCAGTATTTTTAACACATCAATGTGTAATAAGGAATGCTCCCTTGAAATTAATCACATGCCATGGACAAATTAATAAAGATGTTTTCTAACCATGAAGATGGTTTGTAAGGGAATCTAACTGCCTAGATGGAGGGATCTTAGCTACAAGCTAAGAATGGCCCTCTGGAGCTGCCTGGGTCCTGGACCCACTGTTCTCTGGGTTAAGAGACCTTCTCTGTACCCACAGTGTCACAACTACAGTGGGGGCCCAGAGGACAAAAGAGGTAAAGCACAAAGCCCTCCGGCATGCCAGGCCCTGGGAACACCAGGCAGTGCAAGATCCTCCTTCAGGCAAGGCAAGCCCATTGTTTCTGTTCCTTTGTCATTTCTGGTTAGGCTGACAACTCTTCCCAGAAGCCCTCTGTGGGGACTCCAT